TATCTGATGGGAGGACTTATCTGTGAGATTTTAGGGTACAAACATTTGAGTTGCAGTTTTTTAATAACCTCGGGATGCGTGATTTGTGCGACCCTAGAGCTATTGGATGTGCTTTTATGCACATTGTTTGTTTCAACAAGAACCCAGTGGATTCCATAACTATGTAAGCTCGAGTACGTGGGTTTGCGAGCCTGCAGGATCCATATTTACATGGCTGCATTGGGTTCGCTAACCTAGTAGTTTATGAAAACCGGTCTCCTGGGTAAAGCTTACCCGGTGGATATCGGAGCCTCTGGGTTCGTTGACGAATAGGTCACCGATTGCAAGTACCGGTAGACTTCTATTTTCACATCTTACGTTTCTCCTTCCAGATTCGATGGTCACGCTGAATGCGTTCGATTTGTCAGAAGTCTTGGAATCCCCATGCTTGTCGTTGGCGGTGGAGGGTACACGTTGCGCAATGTCGCTCGTTGTTGGGCTAATGAAACTGGCGTACTTGTGGATGTCGACCTGCCTAATGAAATCCCTGAAAATGCAGGTTAGTTTTCTTTTCAAAGAAGGGTTACAAACTTTACCTCTTCCATACGAACTGCACCTGTTTCAAGAATATCTTCCCTTCTTCGAGCCAGAGTTTACACTGCGACCTGACCTACCCAAGCGTGCTGACAATCACAATACTAAAGAAGTATGTGCAATACGCTTCTTTGCATAATCAATCATGAATTCTCTTACAGTTCCTTGCTGCCCTTCGACAAGAAATTATTGAGAATTTGCGACAAGTGAAAGGTGCTCCTTCTGTCCAAATGATGCCGATCCCTGAAGACATGCTAGATAACGATGTAGCTTTATGTGAGCCCGAGTTGGGCGATGAAGAGAGAGGCAAGGATCATGAAGAAACAAATACAACATATTCCGGAATGGAAACATAGCCATAGAATGTTTCTATCGTTGTGGTCGTGAATGTGCATTATCTCAACACTATATGACTTTGTTCTCCATCTAATCGGGTATTCTCCTGCAGCATAGTGATCTGATCGTTTTAATTGAAAGTTGCAATGTTCCAGTATTTGAATGAGTAATAAAACGGTATCACCAGCGCATCGTCTTTGTTCGACAAAGCAGACACCGAAATAGTATGAGTCACGCGTTGACTTCTTCTATTTTCCCTAGTTTTTT